CTTAGATACACTTACTGTTAAGACTTTCAACAGGTCAGGGGTAACCCAGAGTCATATTAAGGCCGATGAGATTGTTCAGTGGATAAATAAAAGCCAGGTGGCCTGAGTTCGAGTCTTAGCACAGAGAACGTAGAGACCTGACTCCAGCTATCATGTGTGTCAAAGTCACAGTCGTCTTTTTTTCTTTTTTTTGGGGGGGGGGTGTTGGTTGAGACATGGCTGTCCTGGAACTCGCTCAAACTAAGAAATCACCTGCCTTTGCCTCCCAATTACTGGAATTATAGGAGTGTGACACTACCACATGGTTTAAAGTCTTAGTCTTTAAAAGAAAATTCAAATATTTAAAAAGTTCTAGGTCTCTCAACTCTGGGTTCCTATAAAATAAGAAGCTAAATACTTAATTTCTAGAGGGATGAACCACGGCAGTTACAACTGAAACAAAGCAAAACCAAAATCCAACTGTTATAAATAGCTCAGTGTCTGACATTTTGGACTTACTCATCTCTCTGGTTCCACCAATAGCAGCACATGCAGGTTGTCTTACAGGCTCAGGCAGGCGTTACCTGATACCAGCTACTGTTCATGATGGAAACCCCATGGACCTGTCCTCTTTAGTCTGCTGGAGTCCCCGTTACAACTGAGGATGCACTGTCAGTGATCTCCTGGCTTCTCCTCAGGGATTCCAACCATGCTACATAGCACTAAGCCTCAGCTGCTTTCCATGACCCTTCCATGCCTTCAATGCCAGAACATCTCTTCCACATTACTGGGTTTGGCCGCCTCTGGAACACAGCTTCTGTATGCTGACCCTGAGGAAACACTTCCCAGAAGTGATGCTGGTCTCTTATTAATCACAGATGATTCTTCAGTCCCAGATGATTAGCATTCACTGTCTCAGAAAAGCAAAGGTTTCTTAGAGGAATCAACAGATTCTTAAGTAAACTGCAACCATGGTTTCCCTCTTACAATCCAGGCTTACATCATCTGCATTCCTCTCCATACTCGTATCTCCCAAGCTTCCACAGAATAACCCAAAACTCTGAGCACTCAATGGCCTTTCTAGTCCAAAGTCCTAAGCACCTCTACAATCCTCCCTGAAAACATGGTCAGGCATGTCACAGCAATAGCCTACTTGCTGGCACCAATTTCTGTCCTAGTCTCTTCTCTGTTGCTGTGATAAAACACTAATAAAAAGAAAGGGCTGGCAGGGCGGCGGCTGTGCACGCCTTTAATCCCAGTACTCGGGAAGCAGAGGCAGGTGAATTTCTGAGTTTGAAGTCAGCCTGGTCTACAGGGTGAGTGCCAGGATTGCCAGGGCTGAAGAAGAAAGGGCTTATTATATCTTATTAAATTAGAATTTATCCCTTAAGTAAGTCAAGACAGGACTGCATGGCAGGGAATGAAGCAGAAACTAGCTGTTTACTGGACTGTTGTTCTATCTACACTCTAGGACCACATGCCCAGGGCTAGTACTGCCTACAGTGGGTTGGGCCTGCCTCCATCAATCATTAATGACCCACAGACATATTCATATGACAGTGTGATGGAGTTATTTTCTCAGTTGAGGTTCCTCTTCTGAAGTGACTTTAGTCTGTATCAACTGACAAAAAATAACCAGCACAGCCACAAAGACATAATTATAAGATAAAAACAAATCTTAAACATCTATACTATCATGATGGCACATGCTTGTAATCCCAGATGCAGGAGGGCCATGAGTTCAAGACATACCTAATAAGATCCTCTGTCAAACACAGCTCAAAACAAAACCACTCATGATTAATTTGCTTAATTTGATAAAAAATATCTGTAGGAATTATACTCAGGGGCAAAGGAACACCAGCTTTCCCAGTGAGAGAGAGAGAACAAGACAAGGATGCCACTGTTTCCATGCAGTGCTCCACCTGCCTGAGTTGGTGCACTGGAGCAAAGCGATGACATATCCACTACAAGGAGAGAAAACAGTCATTGTGTTTTCTAAGTTATGATGCCAACCATACAAAACCTCTGAATAACCGCTAGAATGCTGGTGACAAGGTCAAGAACAATTTCATTACGTAAAAACGTGCTTTTATAGTCTAGCAAGTAGAGATTAAAATCTTACGACAGTATTTACCAAAATTCATACACCAGGACACCAGGTAATAGAAGCCATGAAAATGTGAAAGACTTAAAAAACTGTCAAACTTTTTTTTTTTTTTTTGAGCCAGGGTCTCAGGTTGTCCTTGAACTAACTATGAAGCTGAAGATAATCTGAACTCTTACATCAGCCTCCCATGTGCTGGGATTATGTGTGAACCATCATGGTTAAAATACAAGCATATACACACGTGCACGCACACATGCGCGTGCACACACCACACACACACACACACAAAATTATTTCTATTTATGTGTATGGGTCTCTGTCTATGTACATTTGTGGGTACCTGTAGAGGTCAGAAGAGGGTGTCAGATCGCCTGGAGCTGTAGTTACAGGCAGTTTGTGAGCTGTCCAGTGTGGGTACTGGGTTCTTTGCAAAAATGGCAAGCACTCTGAACCACCGAGCTATCTTTCTGGTCCCTAAAATATAAACTTTTAGGTATATGTGCAACCATCACCCCACCAGTTAACAGGCATTCCACAATGTACTCAACAAGGGAGTCAGGGTAGATGAAGAGCATCAACTTCATAGAAATGAACACAGGACAGGCACTGTCTTTATGGTTTTATGAAAAGATTTTAAAAAAAGTATTACAATTTTACATTTATTATGTATGTGTCTTGGGGAGGGGTGTGGAGATCAGGACAAATGGAAGGAGTCTGTTCTCTCCCTTCCATGATTGCATCCTGGGGACTGAACTCAGGTTTCAGGCTTTACAGCGGGTGCCTTTACCCATGGAGTTAGCTCACCAGCAGAGATCTGCCTGCCTTTGCCTCCCGAGTGCTGGGATTAAAGGTGTGCACCACCACCACCACCACCACCTGGTAAAGTGTTTTTCAACAAGGTACAGAGAGCCATATACATACAAAAGATTCAAAGAGATTAATCCCTAATAATCTGCAACATGAACATTGAAGTTCTCGTAGAATACACAAACTAATAATTTTCAAAAGACAAAGGAACATAGCATAAACCAGAACACACACCTCCCTCAGAAAGAGTGCATTTCCAAATGGCCTACACCTTATGTGAGCGGAGGAAGACAGACTAAATACAAGGAATCACCATCTGTTCTCACGGAGCTGGGTGCGGTGGCTAGTAATCTCAGCATGGGATCACAGTGAGTTCTAGCATGGGAGGAAACAGGATAAGTGAAAGGCTGACAAAGAAATGGAAGCAAGGCACTACTGTACCCTGAAAATCCAATGGTAGGCCAGCAGTCCAAGAAATGCGCACAGTAGGAAGCAAGTGGCCTAACCACCTTCCTGACATTGTTTGCGAATGTCCATCCACAAACCAACCAAAGAATCAATGTGTATATTTCATCAAGCTGCAGAGCAAAGGCGATATTATATATCGATGAAATCATCCTTCAGCTGTGACTAACAATGTGCATCAAGCTTACAAAGGCTGACTAGGCTGTCCATATACTCCATGATTCCATATTTAACCATGCTTAGGGAAAAACACCGAGGTGAGGTCATCAATCAGTCACTACCATAAACGTTAAGAGGGAGAACGTGGGAGTGGCTGGGAAGAGACAGAAGTTTCAGGAATGCTGTCTCTCTATTGTGTTGACCCTAGCCCAGGATATAAATTTGCCTACTCTTTTGTAATTCACCATGGCATATAGGCCTTTCATTTCAGTTTGCAACAGCACTTCATTAGCTTCTTGTTCTAATGGTGTCTTACACACACAGCAACTGCAGGTTGCTGAATTACATGTCCACCTAGTTCTCCACCTCAGTGGGCTTAAGGGTGGCAAGGTCAACATCCAGCAAAAACCACGGTAGGCAGCAGCCACTGCGGCCAGCTGAAAAAGAATGGAAAATCAGCTGTACAATACTGTAGATATACTAAATAGTACTGAACTATGTCCTTGTGTGTATATGGGCCAGAGGAAATGTCAGTTGTCCTCTCCAATCACACATTTCCGTTTTGAGACAGGAGCTCTCTCTGCACCTGAAGCCCAACAATTCAGTTACAACAGTTGGCCAGTGAGTTTGAGGGATCCCTGTCTCTTCCCTGCCCCTAGAACCTGAGTGACAGCCTGTGTGCTGGGGATTAAATTCAGGGCCCACTCAAGCACTTCACCGACCGAGTCATCTCCCGAGCCCTGAACGTGGACTTCAGCACAATTTTTGGCTAGTGCATATTATATGCCAGGCAAGTATTTGCCCAGTGAGAAGCACCAAGGCTACAGTTTCCAAATAGGAAGCAACAGCCTATGGCCTGAAGGTCCCTTGGCTATGGCAGCACCACAGTATAGACGATGCTTTCACAGTGTCCAGTCTTTGGCCTCCTGGTCATAGCTCAGGCATTCAGAATGCTGCCACTGCAAACTGAAGTAGGATGACAGTGTTGTGTGAAAGCTGACCGCGGCCTTTCTTACGTTCAAGTGCTGCCATGTAGCTGCAGTCTAAAGCTTCAAAGTCACAATGCCTAACTCCCACCGAGAAACTGTGTTAGTAATCACACACGGAATACATTTAGGTTTGGAACAATCTTAATCTTCTAAGCTCACCAATTGACACTCCAGTGTGGTAAAACCACCACCACCTCACTTCCCTACCATAGCATCGTGAACTCCAAACTGTTACTGTGCACTTTCCAGGCCTGGCTGTGCAGTCTTGGAACCCTGTGGAGTGGGTACTCCTTACAGTCTGGTCTCTTTCCCTTCTCCCAGAAAGTCACAACGAGGTATGTTTTATTCTGAGTAAAAAGGTACAATTTGAAAAGGTGGTTTGAGTTGAACTTATTTTCCACACACTGACTAAAACCTTTGTTAGGTTGGTAGAGAAGATGGGGTCAGAACTCTGCAGATCCTTTCAAAAACAAGATGTGCAAAGACAACACTTAACATAAAATCTGAATTAACTTTATTTCCCTTATGGTCAATAACTTCTCTGCATTGAATTGTAAAGCAACAAAGTAAGATAAAATCCCCCAAATGACAAGGTATCAGAAATCCAGATTTAGTTACACTTTATTTGTGAAAATGTTCACCCTTTTTTTATTGGTCTGTAAAAGAACCATCATCCGGGTCAAAAATGAATTCTATAAATCAAACAATATTCTACACTTTGAAAAAGGAAATCAGCAGTAACATTCTCACGGAACATTGTAAATTACGGTTTCTTCATAAAAGGTTCATCTATTCTGCACTTTCCCACCAAAAGCAGTGGCATGTTGTATAAAAAGTTCTCCTGTGGCAGGAAACCTTTCGCTCTCACTTCACTAAACAACTGGGTAAAGTTTTCAAGTCTGTATAAAGTTGCCTATAAGCTGGAAAATGAACATGGTCAATCTCCATTCATATTTTAGTGCATCTTTTGACAAATGTCACATTTGTAATAAAAGTAAGAAAATGCCTAGATAGCACTAAAGAGTGTTTCATCAAATGCTTCAGGTATTAAAAAACATGGAGCAGTGAACAGAAATCATTGTGATGAACAAAACTGGTATAAAATGAGGAAAATCCAGGCAAAGTTTACAAATCCTTTGTCATTTAAGTCACAGAAATGAACTTTGGATACCTGTCCATGTAAGGGCTTTCCCCTTAATCATCTGCACGTAAACATGGTGCCAACCCCAGTACTAAGGTAACAAAGCCATCCCAGCCAGCCACATTCTGTGTGTGCTTGCCATGATTCCCAAAGGATATAAATTTAGCCCTTAAATGAACAATGCATGAAATCTGCTCTGTAAGTACCTGGTGAAAACACTTGCTAACCGCAGTGCGGATGCCTGAACACAAATACCTATCTAGTCAGCTAACTACACAGAGGCCCACCGCTAGCAGCTGCTCACAGCGGCACTGAGCGACACAGTGGACATTTGATGAAACATTCTTCACACCAGAGAAACAGGAAAATAAATAGAGTTTACGGAAGTACTCTCCTCTTAACACTTCTTTCTCAGACCGGGGCTAGTTTGTTTACTGGTCAAGACACTCTTGTTACATCTGTCATGTGTGTCTTACATATTGCTATTTGGGTAATTCAAACAAAAGGTAGATCTCGTAAAAGGAAAAAATAAAATTGACAAGTACGCATGTGCCAGGGACCAAATTAGAGGGTTCTTTGGTGCAATTAGTCCAAATTCTCAGATTTGAAGGGTAATATGTACCAATAATAATAATAAAAAAAATCTTCTGCCAGATGCTCACAGCATGGCTCTGTCTTGCTTCACATTACAAATCGAAAACAGTTGTTCTCAATAAACCAATTTAATTTTTAAATGAGGCATTGCCAGAAAATTTTGTACATTGACCTGGCCCAGCGATGGTTCTGTACCCTTCGTGCTGTGAAACAGGACATGAGCTGAAGGCAAAGACCGGTGCTCACAAGGACAACTGCTGCAAGTCAGGCCAGAACAGTGTGTTTAAACAGTCTTCTTAGAGATTTTCTTGCCTTTCTTAAAAACTAGCTTATTTTTAATGTAGCCACGCTTCCTTTTCGTAGTCTAGAAAGAGAAAAATGCAGGGTATTAGTTCAGGTCTCCCACAGACTGATGCGCCTGTACACACCCAGCTTACTCTGGTATGAAGACTTTCATTAAGTTTGACATGACTTTCATTAAGGGACATGACCTTTGAATGCTCAGTGTGAGCAGCTGTCATGGAAAAAGGCGGAGGTGAATATAACTACATCCCTGGATGTAAGAGGATCACCACAGCACCTCAGTCTCCCTCCTCAACCACTGTATGCTCAGCAGTAACGATGACAGATCCCAAGCACCAATCTACAGCTCAGCCTCCACGGGAACAGACTATGTCAGAAATACAAGTTAATATAGAAATTTTCAGGACCCCACTTGTCCCATCTGCAAATGAGGAGGATTATCCACCTTCAAAACTTAAATACAAAAATTGCTTTGCACATTCTGTCACATCCTTTTAGGAAGGAAACATGTCAAGATGAATTCCTTGAGTTTGTTTCATTAATCTTATAAAATAACTTCTTACATTATATATAGTGTATGTTATGTGGGTATATGTGTGCATTTGGTTGCACATGCACACAGAGGTTGGAAGTCAACCTCCATTGTTCTCCACCCTGATTTTTGAGACAGCCTCTCAATGAACCTAGACCTCACCAATTTGGCAAGGCTGGCTGGCCAATGAGGGATCTGTCTATCTATCTCCACCAGTGCTGCCATGCTTTTCATGTAGGCGCTGGGGATCAGTAAGCACTTTACCCACTATGCCATCTCTCCCGCCTCACAGATGTTTTCTGGTAGAAGACTGAAGTAGATGTGGTGGTACAAACTGCTACAAGACCATCTGTGAAATCAAAAGAATGGCTACATCCAAGATTCTGAGGAAAGCATTGCACTATCAAGAAGCTAGGTTTTTACACTAAATAAACTCTTCACGGAGGCTTCAAAACTCAGGTTAAAGACAGCATGTTCTTCCTAGAAAAGGTACTTGACACCAAGGCTGCTCTTGAGATATCTCCACAAACTGCTACAAACTGTCTTCTGACCTCCGGGCCTCAGGTGCTGTGGCATGCCTCCTCCATTCTTCAAACCAATAAAATTTTAAAACTTTTTAAACACCATACATCTAGTCAGCATTGTGGTACATGCACGTAATTTCAGGATTCAGGAGGTGGAGGCAGGAGAATCCCTAGTTTCAGACCAGCCTAGGCTACAGAGCAAGACAACTTCAAAATAGTAGTAAAATATCACTTTGAACGTATAAATAACATGACCTGTGCACTGACATATTTGGTATGTACTCTAACAGTTTAACTGTTCTGGGTTATGGAAACACCTAAGCGCCCTGTGGAAAATGGTTAACAGATCTGTTCTCTAATCAGAACTGTGAACCCAGAGCTTGCCCACAGGACAGCAGCACTCCCTGACTGCCCATCACTTCCACCCTGCATCCACACCCTCACTGTCAGCTATCTTTAATAGGAAAGGTTGAGAGATCTACCCAACTTAAATGAGCAATAATAACCCCTAGTACAAGACTTCCTAACCACCTGTTTATTAGAAAAGGACTGCAATGGTCTCCTTCTAATTCCTGCCTACAAATTTTATCATAATAATTACATCAAAAATTAAGTAGCTTAAAAATGATTTGAGTTTTTGGTTGCTTCAGAAGGCCTCACTCAACTATGTATGTATAGGCAATTTACTCAGCAAATAAAAACCCCATTTAGAGTAGAGCTTGAATATAAATGTACTTTAATCTGAAGATGAGGAAGCAGGAACTACAATTTTTTGAAGTTTTGACTTTCATGCAGGTTTGGACAGTAATGGCTACAGGTACTGTTTAGAAGACATCCCACTAATGGGCATGGCACAGACTGAATGAATGCCTCTAGAAAAACTTACTGGGGCTTGCCAATAATCAGCAGGCCACCGGGAAAATTGTGGCTTGAGGTTGCTTAAGTGCTCTCTGTGAGAAAGATTCTCATAGCCCTATATCTTCTTGTACAAGCAGTCATGTTCTTTATGAGCAGTTTTCAGCATTTTCCATAGCAGCCTACTGAACCACCAAGCCTGAGGTAGTCTTCTAGCAAGATGACATCACCAGGGACCTACCTTCTTTGACAAATACTTCTGTTTGGGGAAGATGTTGGTGACTCGAGGCTTGTGACCTAGTGTTTCCCTGTTGTCGGGTGCTTTCACTTTATATATCCTGACAAGCCAGTGCTCTGATGTAAAGGCTTCCTCCAAATGCTTGAATTTAATGTCTTTATTTCCAATCTCGGCATTACGGGTTCGGTCAAAACCTGGGGGTGTGCGAAAATCTAGCTGCAAAAGTAACATCAGAACTAAATGTCAGTCAGCCTTACAGGAAAACATGCAGTACTGCAAAATAGCAAGTGCTAGCAAAGGGTAACGAATGACCTCCCTTAAGTAAGAAACAGAATGGAAGAATGCATCCTAACAGGTCTTCATACTCATGTAGGGAGGAATCATTTTTATGATTTCTAGACAAATTAGAATATGTTTCTCAGAATTCTTAAATACAGACAAGCAGTTTAAGTGTGATGTTACATGCCTTTGATCTGAACACGTGAGAGGCCAAGGCAGGAAGATCTCTGATTTGGAAGCCAGCCTGGTCTACTTAGTGAACTACAAGACAGCTATAGGCTACATGGTAAGAGTCTGTCTCAAAAGCTGCCCTGCTGAAGGGACATGAAGAAGGTGCTTTCTTTCACCTTAGGGCCTCACAATAACCATCTGTTTCATTATGCCACACGGTCTTCAGCTCTCATGCACAGGACTGACTCAGTCTAACCTCCACCTCCTTTAGATAAAAGAAATACCCATATAAACAATGTTCTGATGTCCTGAAAAGGCAGCTCCAACAGAAGCTAAGCCAGCTGAGCCATGGGAAGACTTACGAGAAATAAAAGGGCAATGGGCACTCTGTAAGAGAGTCTTAAACCAAATTCACACAGACACAAACGTAAACTTGAAGACAAACACAGTGTAAAACCAGCCTGCAAAGCAAATAGGGAAGTTCTTGCTTGTCCTCATAACAGAAAAATTGCACTGCCTGTGGTAACACGTATGCCTCTTAAGGTATGAAACCAACAGGGCTTAAATAGTTCATTAAGCCTAAAACCTCCTTCATGCAGAGAACTCATCGTTTATACCAGAAAAACCATTTTGTGGCTTAACTGATAAGACTTTTATCCTAGCCTGAGTTTGGATCCCAGGCAAGTGCAAATGAAGCAAACACAAATAAAAATTTATATCTAGATTATTGTGGGCATGGTGTTTTGCTCCTAAAACTACCTACAAAATGACCACAGGTGAATAATGAAGCAGATACCCACTTATGCCCATCTACTATAGAGTAACACAGAAAGCAACGATATAAGTTCTGCTAGATCATACTAGCCATCATCATTATTTCACAAATAGATAAAATGTTCCACTTTTTTAAATTTTTTGTTTTTGTTTTGAGACAGGGTTTGTCTGTAGTCTTTGAAACCTTTCCCAGAACTAGTTCTTATAGACCAGGCTGGCCTTGAATTCACAGCCTTCTTAGGTTGGAATGGATCCCTGCAACAAAGACAGAATAACAGCAGCAAAAACAAGTCTATCCATACATGCAACACAGGACAGGAGAAACTTCAGGAAGTGTCTTGGAGCAATGGCTTAGAATTGCATTCCCCAGATCACATTCAACAAAGAATAGTAAACTGGTAGTGACAAGGAAAGAAGGCTGAGGTCTTCACAGGGGGAAGTGATGGCCAAGTGTGCCTGTGGGGAAAAGCTGAGGGAATGTATAAGGCTGACTTGTAGACTGCTTTGGTGCCCTCTGGACTGAGGCATTTAGAGTTAGCATTATCATCAGTAAATGAGAAGTTAATTTGTGCCTTTAAGGCAGGAAATGAGGCTAGATGAAGAGAGAGTACTTCTGTTTGCTGTTAATTGCTTTTAGTGCAAAAGTAATTTTTAAATGTCAGAATAACATATTTTGGTTTCCATCAAAAGCCAAGTCATCAATCTAAATGCGCCCCTCCCAACTATTCACAGATAAGAAAAAGTCACTGGTGTAACATTTTTCTAACACACACAAAAAAGTCAGAAATCGAGATAGGCATGATAACACATGCCTATAAGCCTAGCACTCCAAACACTGAAGCAGAGGATCAGGGGTTTGAAATTTAAACATAATGAGAAAGAAGCCTTGCCCATTCCTCTTCAGTACAATTAAGACAGCATCATTTTTTAAGAGCTTATAAGGCCCCTCCCCATTTGAATAAAGAATGAAGAACTTATTGAACCAACCTGCATTTCTCCAAATCTGTAGTATGACATTTTATACATAAGGCAATTTAACAGAGTAGGAGATCCAGCTTTGTCTACACGGAATTCTCCCTGCTGTGTGAAGTAATCTCCTTCCTATGGAAAGAAACCACAAGTCCAAGGTCAGCCCAGAATAACACTCTCAAAGCTACAGGTCCTAGCTGTGGAAGTAGCATTATGAGATTAAACTCTTTTTAATCCCCCAGCCCCAAAATTAATCTTGTCAAATTTTCAGTTACACAGTTAAAAAGAATGAGACTGACTCTGGTTTCATGCTTTAACACTAGGTAGTGCTCCCAGCAACTGCCCTCACTCACCACTCCTTGGAGCTTACCCTCAAGTTTCCCTATGAACTCCAAGATCCTCTTTTAGATGCAGAGGAGAATGTTCAGCAAACTACAAAGAATATATAGCACTATTTCTGTAGTAATTTTTAAGGGGTTATTTATAAATTAACCTCCCTATAGGGATAGTTTGTTACTATTTTAAAAACGTAATTTCAGACAGCAAAAATGTAATTTCTGATTCAGACATTCCTTTTACAGGAGTATGCTGTATAGATACATACATACATACACACACACATATACATAGATACACACATATGATTCAAATAATGAATATACAAAATTATTTACTATGCCAGAGACATATATCACAGAGAAAGGTTAGTCAAGCCAGATAAAGAAACACACTAAAATGGAACACTCACTGTAAGGAAAAAAAAAAAAAAAAAAGAATGAAGACGATGGTCACATTTTAACAGATTCCTAAGGTCTATAAACAGTATATATATATCTTATTTCTAGTTAGTTGCTTAAATAAGAATCGCAAACATAAATTGCATTAAGAATGACCAGTGGCTTCTATTAGCTGACAACAGTGTGGTGCACTGTGCTGTGAGGTACACACACACTGTAGAATGGTGTATTATCTCACATATCCCCTCTTCTGACAGCTCTTAGTTTATTCTCTCAGCTGTTTTCAAGTACATGATATGCAGAGACTTTCTATGGAAGGAGTATGTTCTTTTCTTGTTAGGGCTAAACTCTGTTCATACTTTGTATTATCTATTCTCAAGGTGTAAAAATAATGTTTTTTTTAAAACAAATTCGTTTATGTGTGCTCATAGTATGTATTTGGGCCAGGTGGTGATGGTACACACCTTTAAACCCAGCACTCAAGAGGCAGAGGCAGGTGGAGCCCCATGAGTTCGAGGCCAGCATGGTTTTATGTATTTGGAAAAAATCATGCTACAACTTTTAATGATGTCAAGTAATTCACAAACTAAAATCATGTTTTAAGAGAATGAAATTTCAGATTAATCGAAAGTAAGGAAATAGTGTTTGTTAATTATAGCTAAGGGGAAAATGTCCCAGCATTTTCACCTGCGCAGGACATCTGGGACTACGCTCCATCTTGGTCTGTTTCTCTCTCTTCTGTCTGTATATTTCTCATCTTTTGAGACTTCCTCACCTTTGCACAATTCTAGTTACCTGTCTTCAGAAGGTGGGAGATATAAAATCTAACTACAAAGCAATTTTTTGAGGATAAATAGAGGCCCGGGTGTACCCAAAAAGGGCTCTTGAGGGGAGGTGACGTGTGGAAGGAGAGGCATTTCAAGACAGTATTAAAAACACATGTCAGATGAGTCAATCAAAGACAACATAGGCAAGTTTCAGAGATAAAGTAGCCTGGCAGTGGTATAGGTTGGTCAAGAGACCAGCAAAGGAAGGCTAGGGCTTGCACTCCAGGCAAGAGTTGGAACTTTTTAACCAGTGCTTTGCCAAGAGATACACTATATGAAAATGAGGCTTTAACTACATTACTACAAATATTCTTAATACCACCACACATAATCACCCAACTTCAATGGTGATAACCTAAGTCTTGCCTTGGGCACCATACTAATTCTATATCCTAGAAAAATACCCAATGCTAAAAGCATTTATGTTGATTAGCACAAAAAATTTGCCTGGAACAACTAGCTGACAGTTTTAATTCTGACTCATATTTGTTAAATTTCACAGCCATTCTCTGATGTGGGATTCCCCTCCGTGTGCTGCGAATGAATAGAGCTGCTTGGGCCTATGACAGGGCAGAATAGTCCTAGGTAGAAAAACTAAACTGAATGCTGGGAGAAAGAAGGTGGAGTTCGGAGAGATGTGACCTTACTGGTAAACCATGAGTCTTGTGGTAAAATATAAAATAATAGAAATGGGTTAATTTAAGATGTAAGAGCTAGCTAGAAATATGCTTAAGCTTTTGGCCAAACAGTATTGCAATTGATATAGTTTTTGTATGATTATTTATTTTGGATCTGGGCAGCCGGGAATGAACAAGCAACTTCCAATTACCATTTTCCATATCTATTGAAGGCTTTTAAAGCACTAAGTAACATGATCAATAAATGTCAAATTCATGGAAGACGACATAGGACCAAGGCAAAGACTGATTTCTAGATTATTGTTCTCTTTCAGATTTATAAACATTAAGGGTAACAGAATGAAAATGAAATCAACAGGTAGAAAGAAGCAAGAGGCTAGGAGAAAAAAAAAGTCAGAAAACCTGACAAGGGTAGGATGGAGGTAGTCATGAGGGATGCTCTAAGACAAGCATTAGGAAGGTAACCCCTCACACTATGGGAACACCAGAGTGCATAGACATGCATCTAGACAGCACTGTTTACTACATAACCATGTTATTTAGTATAATACTTTCACATATATGGGGTTATCAATATAATGTTGTTATATGGCATGTGAGGCTACCAAACCTAGGAAATACATTTAGTATTTTTTAACAAATAGAGTAAGGCAGTAGAACAGAGGATAGGATGATGTAAACAATGCACACTGGGCCTGATGATGCACACCTTTAATCTCATCCTTAGAAGACCAAGGCAGGACCCCCGAGTTTCAGGCCAGCCAGAGGTACACAGCGAGGAAAGGAAAGAAAGAAAAGAATGCAATTCGGCAAATATGAGAACTGCTTGGATCCCATGAGCTGTTTAAGACGTCCAGTGTGGTCCTTACCCGAATGTCTTTTGGATGCTCCCCTTCAGCTATCCTAACCATCCAGAGGAACTTGTTGATATCATCACCAGAATAGCCAATAACTCCTCCAAAAATAACCAATACATAATCAACATCCAGAGATCTCATGATTTTATAGGCGGCTGTTTCATTAGAAGACATAGCTTTTCCTACCTGTAGAAAAAAATAAAAATGTAAATTTTTACTGTAAAATGAAATTCACTGTGTTTGATATACATGAATTTTGGGTAGGAATGATTCTCTATGAATGCCATAAACATAGAGGAATTCACTAACTTCTTAACTATGATAACCATTTCATAACAGAAGTATCAAACTCAGAACACACATTTTAATAATTAAGTTCTAGGACATTTATATTTTAAGATGAAAACAAGCAAGCTCTTAAAGAGATAATTTTCTCCCAATCTCAGGCTGAGCCTGGCCCATGATTTCCAGAGCAGCCTCTTCTGAGCCAAGCAATTAGCCACAACAGTCACCAAAACGGAATCCATTTAAGACCCAGTTTTCTACTCATAGACTTTAAAGTACAGAAATGATTAATTTATGGAAGTTCACTATTTAACAGAATGAATATATAATTTGCACACCTGTATGACTTGCACATCATAAAATACTTGTTTTCATATTTGCAAACTTTTTCTTAAATTTGCAATGTAAAAAATATACATCAAGCATTTTAAGTTTCAGATTTTGCCTGGTTCTCAGTAAGCTAAATCTACCAAAAGCTACTGGAAATCAATCTGCAATTCTGATTCCATAATAATACTCTTAAAACCAGACTACACAGGCAGACACATATTTTAACTTGTATCTTTCCTGTTTAATTGTAAGTGAAGTCTGATTGCTAAGTATAATTGAACTCCTTTTATTTTTTAAAAACAAACAACGATGCCGAGTCCTCACCAGTGCTATGTGACTGTTATTCCAGGTGTTGTTATCCACCAGAGTAGTCCTGTTGGCCATCCCAGCGATCTGATAGCCATAGTCCCACCAGGACATGACCCGGGCATGTTCATCTGTATTTTGTCTTAGCCAAAAGTATGCTTCTCTAAAATCATCTAAGATATTTCTGGTGCTGAAAAGAACCACAGCATTATTTTAAAAGACATCTTAAGAGTGAAGGAGATAGTTTAAAATTTTGAGATACTTAATCAATGAAAAATTTCATTGTAAAAATGACAATTGAAAGCCCCTACTTCCAAGGTGGGGAAGGGGAGTGGTTGTGTCTATACTAGTGTTTCTCAAGCTAATGTACAAACAAATCACTTGTCTTGCAAAACATCAGATTCTAATGAACTAACTCTGGGACAAAGTCTGATCCTCTCTTAAGTATATGAGATTGCACATGAAGTAGAAAGTTGAGATGTGGCACTATAAAAGTCAGCTGTCAAAATCTGGCTGCAGTGAAATCGCCAGGGTCCCTTAACCCACAGTTGGTTGGGCCCTGCCCCCAGGCCTCTCAGGTAGGCTTAGTGTGGGCTTCATAATTTGCATTTCTAGCAAGTTTTACACCAAGGATGAAGTCCAGTGTCTACTAAGTATACACAAATACACATGCATTAAGATTTTGGGGAAAAAAAAACACAAAAAATATAGTTACTACCACCCATCTCAAAGATTGAGGAAAGCCACATGAAAGACAAAGTAAACTTAGGGAGTGGGGTTGCTCTAGCATGTGGGCAATCCTGGGTAACATCTCTACTACACCTTAAAAAACAGAAAATCAGAGTTTCACAAACAGTATTCTTTTTTCTTTGAGGCAAAATAAAAAAGGTTAGGTCTAAGTCTTTTCACAGCCAAGTTGTTTTCTTACCCATCATGATTGTAGGAAGCAAGGACCACACTTGGACTGGAATAGGCATTGCTAGTGACCCATGTGCAATGGACGGCAAACATCATCAGGAGCATAAGCATGAGCATGGTCACAATGCTTTTGATGTTGGGGCCTAAGCCTTCTTCAGTTTTCTCTTGCTCTGTTACATGTTTTCTTACTTTACCTGCCTGAAGATGGAGAGCAAACAGTTAGAAGTCTTTGCCACTATACTTGGTTTATTTACACAATCGGGAAAAGTGGGGAGAATATTAACCGAGCAGTGGTCAGAAAAGATGCAAACAGATATTCTATGGGTGATGTGGAGATCTGCTCTTGTCTTAATTCAAAGTAAACTTTAAAGTCAATCTGAATCAAAAAATACACTCAAACCAAAGAACCAATCTCAAGGCAAACTATCTCTATAACAGAAGGCAGCTTTTAATTAAATGTAAAGGAATTAACTATGGGGCTCCATTCTGACAATGTAAAATCCAGCATGTATATATTCATACTTAATTCTACTCTCAGAAATGGCTACGCCCACCTAAAACCCAGAGCAGGAAATTACTAGGAAACTCAATGCACACATGCTCCTTTTTGTTGAAGAGAACAGAATAGTCATAAACTCTAAGTTAAAAGGCTGATTAAAAAAAAAGAAGAAATATAACAAGTGTCCTTAATTAACACAAATTTTTATGAATTTTTTTCCAGAGTAACGAAAGGATTCCACTATAGCATTCCAAAGCTTATTCGTATTGATAAATTTAGTTAATATTAAAATAGCAAAGTCTAACAGGTCATTCAAGACAAATGCTATAATTTTTAAGTCTTTTCCACTTTTGTCCAACACACGTCTGCTCCTATTGTTACTCAGGTTAAAAGTGAATTTCACATATTAGAAACAAATAGGTGCTAACAAATAGGTGTTTAACCAAATACCACTTTTAAACACCAAGTTGCCATTTTAAAGTTTTACACATAGGCTGGGAGAGTGGTTCAGAGTAGAGGGCTTGCTTAACATGTATGAGGTCCTAGATTTGACTCCCAGCACCACACAAGGTCATTCCAAATACAGACTAAGAACAAGTGAAAGCACTGGTCCACATGGTTAAATCTCATGTAACTTGTTCTCAAAAATGCAAAGGCATTAACATCCCATGAGTTCTTAGGTACAACTGGCCAAAAAGAAGTTAACAATCCCTTTTCTGATTCCATTTTTGTTGAAAGGAGGCCACTTGTTTGTTCCAGCTGCCCAGAACCAAAATAACCACACAGATACTGTAATAATTAAATCATTGCTTGGTCCATTAACTCTAGCTACTTATTGGCTCAATCTTACATCTTAATTTAACCCACTTCTATCAATCTGTGGATCGTCACGTGGCTGTGGTTGACTAGGTAAAGTTCTGTCCGGCTCCAGCAGGGATGCGTGGCTTCTCTCTCACGCCGCCTTCCTTCTCCCAGCATTCAGTTTAGTTTTCCCTGCCTACTTCTGCTCTGCGCTGCTCTGTTATAAGCTCAAAGCAGTTCTTTATTAACCAGTGGTATTCACAGCATACAGAAGGGAATCCCACATTACCTCCCGCTTTCTGAACGCTGGGAGAAGGCAGAGTGAGAGAAAAGCCATGTAGCCCCGCTGGAGCTGACGGAACGTTACCTTGTAACTCATAGTCACGTGGTGATACATAGATTAATAGAAATGGATTAAATTAATATGTAAGAGTCAGTCAATAAGAAACTAGAGCTAATGGGCCAAGCAGTGATTTAACTGATACATATCTGTGTGGTTATTTCGGTTCTGGGCAGCTGGGACAAACAAGTAGCCTCCTTTCAACAAATTGGAGTGCCAACGTAGGTAACTACAGCCACATAAAGACCTGAGAAAGCTTAAAAAGGAATCCTAGACACAAAAGAGAAACAAAGCTAAGCATGGTTTGGTAGTGGCATTTTCTTGGGTGGGCTCTCTTTGCTAGAAGCAAGCAGAGGCAAGGCTCCTTTAGAGAGGACTTACTGATTCAGTCTTAGCAGAAAAAAAAAAACAACGCTGTGCCATTTTGAAATGCCAGCTTTCTGGGCCGTGCTACCAAGGTGACCGACCTCTGGCTCTTTCAGGAGGCTGAGCATTTATATGGGGTTTGTGAGCAACGTACTACGACTTGCTTAATGGCAACATACACCTGGTATGTGCCTAAAGTTGGTACAATGTGCACAGCTTGCAGAGGCGGTGAATGAACTTCCATGTTTGACTATGCGGAGCAAGCAGGCAGTACCATACATACCCTAGTAGTGCCGCAACTTAAGTTTTTAAAAAGTGCTTAGCATTTTAAGAAGCTGTCCTGGTCAGTAAAGAATTACAGATATACAATAGGACAAATCCAAATTTAAAAAAAGGCCTATAAATGGGTCACAGTGCTGGATAAATGTATGTAGGCTTGGGAGTGAGAAGAAAAATATAGACAGTTATAAAAAGAAGTAAATGAATTAAGAAAAAGAGGTAAAGTCTTTAAAGAAACAGTGCAGACAGTCATAGAGTAAAGGAGCAAAGATAATAAAATAAGTATTAAAAAGTAATAGAGTAAGAAAAGCCACACAAAGATGGAATGTACAAAGAGTCTGGATTATGTATACTATTGTGTTTTCTTTGAAAGTTTTTGACTGCAGAGAGACATTTGATTCTGGGGATTGCTAAGTTAAACTAACATATGTACTTTAAAGGTATCTTGCCTTCCAAATGTGGATCTAAGGATTTGTTACTTTGGAAAAAAGGTTTTGTTTTGTTTCCACAGAGGATGAGAACCTGTGGATTCATTCCAGGCTAATGTGGTTTGATGGACCAAGACCCCCTGAAAGGTTGCCTTGAACACCCCTCAAAAGATTACTTCACCCAACAAAAAGCAGGAAGCAATTTGGAGAACTATACCCATATTCCCAAATATTGTTTATAAATGTTTCTTTATCTTTAAAGGGGGATATGCTATAGAGATTTGCACTGATATGGATCTTGGTTTATTTATACAAATTAAAGGTTAATTTTGTTATACTGTGTATATATATTTCTGCTCTTGATTAAGGTATTGTGGTTGTGCAGCTCATTTAAAAATGTAATGTGTAATTAAGAAATATAGGTAAATAGAGTCATCTATAATAGACAAGCTTGTAGTCATGTTAGTTGGATTTTCTAGATCTACAGAGATGTATTTCAGATGGATAGGGATTCTTCAAATCTTTCAGAGACTACAGAATATGGCATTTAAAGTGTTTTCAGAATTTAAAACTTTTCATGAGACATATCTATTCTTGGCAGCACCAATTACTTCAAGAGGAAGATAGGCATTGAAGAAGCTCCTTATATGGAGTTGGTTAGTCATTTGGGCAAGAAACTGCTCTTGCCTGGACTGCTTGATGAACTGGACATGTAGGACCCCCCCGAGAAATGACTGCTAAACTTGCCTAAAGGTGAGATGATCCTTCAAGGGTTCCTGCTTCATGAAAGAGTCTGCTAGACATTCTGCAGGACATACAAAAAAAGTGACTGACAAACTGCCAATATAGGCAGAACTATCTTTGAAATTTCCTGCTTCATGGAAGTCTGCTGGATACTATGGGCCAGTAAGCTGGAAATGGATGCTCCAAAGATACAGAAGAACTTTGGGTGACTGTCCAGGCAATGCCAGGCAGTGAGATGTCTCTGTCAATTCTAGAGTTTTAGAAGTTGCTTACAATGCACTTCCCGTTTACTTAGGTAATATTATATCCTTCTGGAGTCTTTGGTGCATCTGAAGAATTTATAGTTAGTTTCCCTTTGATATGATAAAATAGATATAAATATTGTAACTGTAATTCTTGCTTGATAACTGTTTTATGTAATTTTACTATGTTAAACTTAAAACCTTCCTTTTTATTTAAACAGAAAAGGGGAGGTGATGTGGGATTCCCCTCTGTATGCTGTGAATACCATTGGTGAATAAAGACACTGCCTTGTGTTGACAGAGCAGAACATAGATGGGGGGGGACTAAACTGAATGCTGGGAGAAAGGAGGCAGTCAAGGAGAAGCCATGCAGCCATCAGCGGAGACAGATGCGCTGAAACTTTGCTGGTAGGCCATGACCTCGTGGTGATATACAGATTAATAGAAATGGGTTAAATTAATATGTAAGAGTTAGCCAGTAAGAAGCTAGAGCTAATGGGCTAAGCAGTGATTTAAATAATATAGCTTCTGTGTGATTATTTCAGGGCTAAGTGGCCAGAACAAGTGGTCTCCTCCCAACACATTCTGTTTACTTTGAGCTTAAGGGTCAACTAGGATTTATATTTTGAAGCAAGTAATGGAGAGAAACTATAGACATCACTGCTAGTTTGTACCCTCATTTCAGCATGCTTCCATCTGGAGACTCTTCTGGTGCTGGAAAGATCAAGACAGCATAACCTCTCACCTTATCATACAAGTTTCCTGGGTTTCTCTTGTCATCCTCATCACTGCTGTCCTCCACAGGGGGATTTTCCCTTTTCATGTCATCCCCCAAATAGTGCTCAAAAACATTGGAGAAGGCAATTGCAGACAGCATGCAGACAACTGGGGTCAGAGTCAGCATCAGCCGCACCATCACTCCAGCAAAGTAGACAGCACTGATTGCATACAGAGCAACTGCAACGACAGGTTTCTTTCAACACTGAGGGGAAAATGCTCACAGGAAACTACATGTTAAATACCACAGCACAGAAAAAAACTACAATAGGTATCTCACAAAACAATTGTTTCTAAATCGTTAATACTGACCATATAGTCCTATTGAATAAACTAAATAAAAACTATCACCAGTTTAGAGAAATGTACTGTCATTCAAATTTAATTAATTATACAAATGGGAAATTAAATGTAATTTGTTATTTGCCAAGAGCATCAAACCTTACAAAATCCATAGCTGACAGCTAACACTGAATTTGTGCATTACATCACTAGGCACACTAAGTTTATGGAACCAAAAACGGCCTAAGAAAGCCAGCACCAATATCTGGTGCAAAGCCTTCTTCAAAGCAAACATGAGCAAGAAGAGTACTGACATGACGTACGAACACTTGTCAAGTAGCACCTAATAACAATTCGCCTTTCACTGGCCAGAGCTCTGGAGTGGGTGTTGACAGTCTCAGGCTAATGGCCTGAAAAGCCAATGAAGTATCTGACTCCTACATCATTTGAAGGTACTGAAAATATTCATGTGGGTAGGATGTAAAATTTATATGCTAAGTCTACATTTTAAAAGTAGTAATTAGAACATATATACACTGAAAAATTCAACTAATTTTTCTTGGCCAACCACCTCCATGAAACAGGAGAAAAATATTCTTGAACATAACATATATAAGTAAAGAAAAACAAAACATTAAAGTAATCTCAAAATGGACAAGAAATAATTATTCTGAATCAAAGAGTTTATTGGAAAAAAAATCTTACCAAACACTCTTTCATCGTTGATATTTTTGATGCAGAACCATAGGCCTGCTGGGAAGGTACATACAAGAATATGTAGATCAAAGAAGAAAGACACCCAAGTCGTAGGCTGATGCTCAGACACTGATGCAATAATTGGAATGTGTATTTTTGCATACCTGATATTAAAAAAGTTCATTATTATTTACAATTAAAGGATAAAACAGGAGTTACTTTTAGATGAAGAAATTTTCTTTGATCATTGACAGTACTCTTTTCCCCAACTTTCCTTATTTAAACTTGTATTTTAACTGCTATAGCTATAGTAGAAATCGATCTAAAGCTAATATGCCCCCTCAAGCAGAGCTATCTAGAGCTAATCGAATTGCTGGCTCTGGTTTCTAATTCTTGCTCAGATAGGCATCTGTAGTCCAGCTCTACTGCCTACAGCTACTCCAATGAGTTTCTCCACGTCTTATTGGTATTACCCATAAATCCCTGTGCTCTATAACCTTTGTAGACAAGGGGCTGGTGTGGGTGTGAGAACAGAAGCCATTCTGCAAACACTCTTGAGACTCCAAAGTAGTCAAAATTACTTAAAAAATGTAACTAACACACATCAACTTTGGAATTTAGCTTAACCAGAACAATCTTCTGTAACTGACTGCTTCCAGTCCTCAGGATCCAAAGGCTAAAGACAGCATACTCCTTAGCCATCACTACATAATTTATGCTGTGATGACATTTGCACAGCAGCCCTTAGGTGTCATATCAAAAGGACCCCGGATAAATAAGTGGTGGTAGGACTTTATTGGATCATCTAGAAAGCAATTGCTAAAACAGTGACATCCTCTCAGCACTAGGTCATCGTCTTACAAAGTTTCACTGAAATAGTCTGAATCAAGTTTTAAATTAAAAGTTAGTTCTTTTTATATAGCATTCTTCAAAAATGTGCTAGACACTCGTGTATTTCAGATTTTTTTAAGCAGAAGTTTAAATTAAGTGATTGTACAAAAAGTCCTTCATACCTATGTCATATATATTTGTCACACAATACCTTATCCTTAACAAAACTCAAGATGTAAATTTTATATTCATTAGTTTAAAAACATCCCCATCTTTAAATTACACACGTGCTGTGCTGACAAAGTAATGGAGTTAGCCATAGCAGAGGAGGAATATAGAACTTATGTCTCAAAACAACAGTGTATTCACTTCAAATAGCTCAGCCTGGTATTTATTGTTGCTTAAGCAGTGACTGAAATGCTCATAATCTAGAAACACATAGCAGAAAGTTATTTGACTAGGAGGCCAAATTAGTATATTTGAACTTACCCAGTATCCCATAATGAATAAAACCTGCCACTCCATGGTGCAATGTAACCTTGAAAGAAAAAATAGAGAGGAGATTATTTGCCTTTTTATTATTTTGTAAAATCTCTTTCTGGGGTGGTGGTGGTGGTGCTGGTTGAGATTAAATCTCCTTGCTACATAGCCTCTTGGGCCTATAGTTTGCCTCAAACTTCTAGCACCTATCCTACCTCAACCCCTCAAATGCTGGGAGTACAGCTTTATTTTGTAAATTAAAAAAGTATATAATAAATATTCTACACACACACACACACACACACACACACACACACACACACACACACA